TAAGAAAGGATAATGAGATGATATTGGGAAGTATGTACTGTAAATTTCCACAGTCAATGACGCTGTCTCAATGGTTTGCTCTACAATAGAAAAATTTTACATAACTACGCTCCATTTTTCTTTATATATAAAAAATTGAGTGTCACATTGTTTGTCCGCGACTTTCAATGATTTTCAATGAAATTTTGCACACTGTGTGCAATTTGGTCCAACTTAATATATATATATATATATATATATATATATATATATATATCCAACTTAATATATATATATATATATATATATATATATATATATATATATATATATATATATATATATATATATATATATTAAGTTGGACCAAATTGCACACAGTGTGCAAAATTTCATTGAAAATCATTGAAAGTCGCGGACAAACAATGTGACACTCAATTTTTTATATATAAAGAAAAATGGAGCATAGTTATGTAAAATTTTTCTATTGTAGAGCAAACCATTGAGACAGCGTCATTGACTGTGGAAATTTACAGTACATACTTCCCAATATCATCTCATTATCCTTTCTTAGTGGATAATAATAAAAATCTCAGATAGATAAATTATTAGGAATGACTGCTAAAAGACTTTTTCAGCTCTGCAAACTCAATTGTAACCCCTGTAATCCTTCTTAAGATAGTCAACAGAATATAATATTATCTTTAGAAAATATTCTGTCTATTCCACAAGTTGAGTTATGAATAGTTTTTATTTCATGTTTCAGATAAGCACATACTGCCCACAGAGTGCAAGGACACGGCGGATCTTCTAATTTTCATGGACAACATATTCGATTCAGTCAATGGAAGTAATGTTAATAACAAATACGCTAAACCCTTACTTAGTCCAGTAACACCTAACTCTGTACACCATAAAACATGGGTGGAAGGCATACAAATGTTTGAAACAATGTCGTTCATAACTGCCAGTGGTAAAAAAGAAACTGTTCCCACTGTGGCTAATTGGGTGTGGACACTGAAAGGAATTCAAATATTGTTAAAGAAATTAAAAGATAAACATAATATATCGTCAGTATGGTTGCGGCACCTGAATCAGGATCCATTAGAAAATTTCTTTAGCGCAGTGAGAAGCCATGGCTGTCGCAACAACAACCCTACTTGCGATCAATTCGAATCGGCTTTTGCCACGCTTTTAATAAATAATTTAAGTAGTGTCGACACCCAAGGAAAAAACTGTGAAAATGATATGTGTAATGCTTTATATTCTTTCGTACTCAACGAAAATGCTAATGCCACGTCGACCAGCATTAATCTAGACAATATATTAGACATTCATTTAGAAAGTGTAGAGATAAAAAAATGACCCTAGAGTATTTGCACCTCTACAATATGTTAGTGGTTATTTTTTGAAAAAAGCAAAAACCAAATTTTTTAAAAATTGCTCCATATGTAATAATGTTTTTTCTAGTGATGATCAAATAGAATACATAAAATATAGAGAGTATGCAGGTCGATGATGGCTTTGTTCTCCCAGTAATAAGTTAATAGAGCTGATTTCAAACTTACAGGACATTATAAATCATATTGTTAAAGAAAACTTAGAAGCTCTCTACTTAAAAGAAATATTAAAGACTTCTATTGTATCACTAATAGATTTTGAATTTATACAATGTGTCTTACATAAAAATAAAACAGGTGAATATTTAATCAATACCGTCATTCGTTTCATGAGCTGTAACTATTGTAAAGTAATAAATAGAATATTAAATGCGAGAAGATAAAATGCAAATAAAAGCTAAAAAATATCAAAAAAATGTTTTAAAAGGAAAAAATTAACCATTGACATCCAGGAATGAAGTAGAGCCACACCAAAGCTATATTAAGGCATTGTAACATGAATGGGTCAGCTCAATCGGGGGAGGACCATTCTTTCACAGAATAGCAGCGTAAATTAGGAGCTCAAAGCTGCTATGTTTATTATGGCGTATATATATATATATATATATATATATATATATATATATATATACAGAAAAAGTTGCTTACTTCTGGTAAGAGATGACGCTAGTTACGCGTTACCATTTTAAAGGTCGAAGATAGATCTCTATTTCAGTATATAATAAAGGTACTCTGTGTTACCTATATAAAAATTCCACTTTCGTTAGTGGTGTCATAGTCCTATACCATTCGATGAAAGGAGGTACATTTTTTCGCGGTGTCGCCCTAATGTATAAACGTTAGGGCGACGTTAAAGTACTTTTTACATTTTAAGTACGCCTTTCGCAAGTAAAAAGATTCCACTACTCGGGAATACACAACACTGTTATTAATTTAAGACAATTAATTATAACCGACTACGACAAAAAACATCTTAGAAAAGTATTTTTCGAACAACATATTCTCAAAAATGTGGAAAGATCATATGTATTGACTAGTGTAAAATATTTTGAAGAAGAATGTAATATACTGTTATTATCCATCATGCCCCTGTACTGTAACGTCTTATTAGGTCAAATTAAGTATTTTTGGAACATAAATGTCGGATTTTGCCAGTTCTCTTCTGGTTCAGTTAGGTTCGTTCTTTGATATTTATAAAAAACATCTGCTCCGCGGTTATTGAGTCCGTTTTTCTAACAAAAAAAAAATTTTTATAAAATCGTTTATATTTTGTTTTAATTTACGGTTGTCAATAAGTAGTTTATCTAAAGCGATTATACATATTATAACTATACTAACGCGAACCCGTAGTAGTGTGCAATATATCCGACAACTCTAAACAGTTGAAAACAAACGACTTCAACCGCAACAACTACAATTTCGCTACTAATTTATATGGGACCACACTAAAGAGACAATAATATGTCAATTAAAAAAAGATTCGTTAAAATCGTTCTACAATCGACAAAGCTCAGATCAATAAAGAAGTAAAGACAGAGTCGTTGTAAACAATCGCGATAGAATCATTTAAAAGAGCACTAAAATAGAAATGCAAGAGTAAGTGTCACTAAATCCAAATTAATTGAAAGGTATGTATGTAGTATACTTATACTCCACTGCTAGTCCGAGACCGAGACGATACTAACAAGTATGTAGTGACGATGATTGTTTAAAGCGCAGGTCACATAAGTCATAATAAGCTAAGAAACAAGTCTCTCGAATGGCAATACTGCCGCTAAATGTCATTACGTTTTTGTGCACAGCGCGGTCAAGTTAATTTCTCTCGTAAAATGTTTTTCATTAATTGTTAATATACGTGGGGCACACTGATAGTTTTGTACTTTTGGTTTCTCATAATTGTTTGAATTTCGAAGATTTTTTTTTACACACAAGTTCTTGATAAATAAAAAAAATAAGCGGCAAATCATCTGTCATTTGTTTTTTATCGCACTTTGAATATCTTCATCCACAGTGAAAATGGAATTAACGCGAAAAGATTTTAGAGCGATTTTTTATGATTTTAAAAGTGCTCTTTCAAAATGCTTTTGGGAGGTAAGCACCCCATCTGAGCACCGTGAGGCGGTAATATGCCGAATTTCAGCGGGATCGGATTCTTCTACATGTTGAAATTCGTGAAGGATGTCCTGCAACCGCGACCACTGAGAAAACGTGGCTACTGTGAAGAAGCTAATTGAAGAAAACAGACGCATCACTTAAGAGACGATTCGGGGACATTTGGGGATTGGTATGAATCAAATTAAAAAAATTCTTTATGAAGAATTAAAAGTTAGAAAACTTTGTTGTCGTTAGATTCCCCATGAACTAACTTCAGAACAAAACAAGCTCGTGTGGATTGGTGCAAAAAGTATTTATTGTTGTATGTGAGTATTTGTAAGAAACTTGGACTTATTGTTTCGAACCAGAGAAAAAACAAAAATCTTGTGAATGGGTGATTGAAAGCGAGAACAGACCGACAAAATTAAAGCAGGGGAGAAACGTCGGAAAAAAACTTAGTAAGCTTGAAAATCAAAGAAATGTTAATGTAGAGTGGTAAACACCATTTGTTTACCAGCTGTTCTTGAAAAAGTACGAGAAAGAAGACCGAGAAGCCGCATCTTTTTGCACCACGACAATGCTTCTTCGCACGCCGCCAATAATACAAAAAAAATTTTTGGCTTCTGAAAAAGTAGAGCTCGTGACCCATCCATCACACAGTTCGGACCTTGCACTTTGTGATTTCATTGTTTTTCCTAAAATTAAAGATTTAATGAGAGGCTTAACTTTTACAAGCTCCGAAGAGGCAGTGACGGCGTTCAATCAGAACGTTGAGAATATGCCACCAGACCAAGGTCATATTGTTTTCTAAAATGATTCGAACGTATGAAAAAATGTTTAAAATGTAAAGGAGAATACTTCGAAAAGCAATGAATATATATTCATATAACTTGTTTTATTAATAAGTTATGCAAAACATTCAGTGCGGCCTACGTACTAAATATCAAAATACTCATTTTATTATTAGCGCAGAATTAAATGTAACTTGTGCTCACAATGTTTTTACGTAAATTACTGAGCCGGTTGTCAGATACAATTAGTGATATAATCAAGCATGGAAAGATGGTTTGTTACGTCGTAAACAGTTGTTAATTATGACTTAAATCCTTAAGGTATGTATATTCTTATATCTGTACCTGAGAAGCATAACACTGTAACTCCATTTTCGACGAAATTGAGGTTTCTACACAATCCTATGTTATTTGCTCCGCTCTTTACAGGCATAAAACAGTAACTGGGCAAAGCCAAGTACTTTTTAATATTTTAAATTTTATTATACTGTATATCTCAAACTATCTTTAAAGCATAATAAGACCATAAACTAAAAATAGTCTTCACAATCACGTGTATTTTACTGTAAGTGCGGAGTTACATTATTCTGCCGCTAACTGCATCGATGCCGCGAAGCTAGGCGCGGTTTGCCTATAAATAGATCGCGTGAGATACAGTGTTTTATTTCGCTTCTCGCGTTCGTCTAATGCACACATATGCCAATTTTTATGTAGCGCTTACAATAAAACATCGAAAATGTGCAGTAATCGAACGAGAAAAATATTACAGCTTCTGCAGCCGATTCCAGATGGTAAGTTTAGATAGTTCAGAAGTAATGTTTTATTTATTCATATTAATATATAATACATTTCTTACAAATAATATACCTATGTATTTTTAGAGTCGCTAACCACAGACGAGCAGTTAAATTCACAAACTTTAAGACTGGTTTCAATTGGTAAGTTTTTATTTTTTTTAAGTTTCAATTATTATAATATATATAAAATTATACATTTGTATTTCTAATATGTTTATTATTTGTTTACGCTGCAGGTCGCGGGTTCGAGTCCCGCACGCGGATGAAGTTCTTCTTATAGAATTTATTTAAAAATTTATCAGTAATCTTCTAACCTGTTGATTCATGTTAAAATAAAAAAAGTCATAACTCCTAACTGCTTTCAATTGGTAAATTGGAAGAAGTTGGAAGTTATGACTATTTTCAGTAGATTTTGTGAGGAAAGTGAACAGATAAACCTTTATTATTTAGTAGTGACGAATTTTCAAACTTAGTAACTATCTAGTAATACTTATATTATAATACTTAACGAAGTCAAATCTTTATATTTTTTTAGAAACAGTAATTAGAGAAGAGCGCTGTTCGTCACCTTTAACAAAAGAACAGCTGCAATTTTTTGAAAACCATGCAAATGAAGAAAACTTCCAATATTGCTTGAGAGAACTATCACGAGAGTCGCCAGTAAGCATGTTAAGCCGAGAAGATAGTCCTTCTGTTTTGCACTCCCGAGAAAGTAGCCATTCTCTTTTGAATTCACAAGAAAATGACCCGTACGAGACAGATGCAGACTCAAGTAGCAACTGGTCACCCTCCCCGCGCGTCCGAAAAAATCCTCGATTGACTGTTATAAGTTCAACATCAGATTCGTCTGAATCTAATGTCGATGAAAACGTAAACAACAAGAGAAAATCAAGAAAACGTTTACGTGATCAAAAAAACTGGAAACGTGAAATAGCGAAAACAAAAAGATTAGCGGGAGAAAGGTATGTTAGCGCAGTTTCAAAAACAAAAAAAAATAATCGAGAAGAGGAAAATGAAGGAAGCTTGCCCGAATACTTGTAAACTAAAATGCTTTGAAAAAATTTCATATGATAATAGGAAAAAAAAACTTTGAGTCATTTTGGAAAACCACCACAAATTGGGAACAAAGAAGACAGTTTGCAGCTTCATCTATTGACTTAATATCCGTGATGCGACCTCGTAGCCGCCAGAATAATGATGTTAGCCGACGCAAGAAAACAAGAATTTATAATATGTTTATTAATAATGTACGTACCCGGGTTTGCCAAAAAATGTTTCTAAACACGTTTTGCCTTACAGAACAATTCATATCAACCACGCTATCAAAGATTTCGGAAGCTACAAGTTTAGTGCAGCCTGATCAACGAGGAAAGCATATTCCAGGAAACAAAACACCCGATTCTGTAATTGCAGGGATTAAAAACCATATTTGTATGTTTCCACGTTACATATGTCATTACTCGAGAGAAAAAACAACTCGCGAATATCTTGGACCAGATTTAAATATAACGAAAATGTACGAACTATACGTAAAAAAATGTAAAGAAGATGGTGTACCAGAAAATATGATATCGAAGCAGTGGTTATACAGAAAAATTTTCAACGAGCATTTCAATTTGTCCTTTTACTTACCTAGCAATGATACTTGCGACACTTGTGATAAGTTCATATCATTATTGAAGCACGAAACTAATCCCGAAGAAAGAGAAAAAATAGAGGAGCAAAGAAAAGAACATATTGAAGATGCTGATAAGAGGTATGCTTTAAAAAGAGAAGACAAAGAAATCGCTAAAGAATCGGAAGGAAAAAAAGTAACTCTTATGGTGGACATGCAAAAATGTTTAGCAACGCCCTTGTTAACAAATAGTCAGTCTTTCTATTTAAGAAAACTGTGGACATTCAATGAAACAATCCATAATGACACTGATAACAAATCTTACTGCATGATGTGGGATGAAACACAAGGAGGAAGAGGTGCCAATGAAGTCGGATCGTGCATTATAGAATGGGTTCTTAATTACAAGCGTGAAAACACAGAAGAAATAACAATATGGTCTGATAACTGTTCGGGGCAAAACCGTAACGTTATTTTGTTGTATTGTTACTTTTGGTTATTACAAAACACGGAACTTGTCACAATCAACCACAAATTTTTACTTCGTGGTCACACACATTCAGAGGCTGATGTTGTTCATTCAGTTATTGAGAGAAAGAAAAAAAGAACTATCTAGTTTTGATGTAGTAGTACTACGTGATTGGAAGCAGTTTGTTAAAATCTGTAAAACTCAGAACCCATTAATAGTACACAACATGAATCTTATGAATGTTAAAGATATTAAATCACTGTCCGTGAATTTCAGTCAAAGGCGTAAAAATTCATCTAATGGTCAGTTTTTGATTTCACAATGTGTGTGGCTACAGGTAAGGAAGCAGAAAGATGGTATTTTATATTATAAAACCAGTTTCCATGACGAAGAGTTCTCTGAGATCAATCTTAAAAAGAATACTAGACAAAACCTTATATTGTCAAACTCCCTGCCACAGGCTCATGAAAACATTCGTCCTATCAGTATTGCGAAATACAAAGATTTGGTGACGTTAACTCAATGGATTGCCGATCCAGAACTAAAAAAGTTTTACATTGACCTACCACATGGTAATCAACCTGATATTATCGAAGAATCTGAAAATCCTGACCTGTGTTATTAAAATTTTTATATTTGTTTAGCTAATAATGTCATTTTTGTCATTAAAGGTATTTAGATTAGATAAAGTTAAAGGTATTTAAAAGTTGTATGTTAAGATAATGTTCAAATTTTGATTATAATATAGGCCTATCACCGTAAGTGTTGCCGAATTTTATTATTTTAAAATTACTAATATACGCAAACATTGATCTCCTTACCTAAATGTTAGTTTATGTCATAAAAATTAATTAGATTACATGAAAAAGTTAAGTATGTTAGATTATGTTCAAATTTTAATTACAGGCATAACACTGTATGTAATACCGATTTTTTTTGTTTTTTAAAAATAACTGAATTACACAAAGATTGATCTCATCATTGTTAGTCAATTTAAAAGCTTATAATGTAGCCATTTAAAAAAATTAAAACAGTTATATTAACTTCACTTGTTTTAAATTTTATAACCTCCTAAACCTAAAGATAGTTACTTTTTGAAAGGATATCTTCTATTACGTAAACTTTGCGATTTGGCGCTTACAGTAATATGCTTCTCAGGTACAGATATTATAAAAAGATGAAAACTATATTATGATATTTTTTCTTTTTTTTTTTACGTAAATAATAATATAACGGAAGTATGATAGATACTTCTTTAGTCATTATTCATTAGTGTTCATTTTTCGTGATTTGGAATAACATATCCGTTTCCGATTTCATTTTAATATAGGTGGGTAAGTTCCTAGTCAACTTACCGTTATTTTTTCTTCACATCTTATTTCGTTTAAATTCCGTTCGGGACCTGCTTGTTATTAAAAAGTTAAAAAATAAAATGGGAAAAAGATAAACGAACAGCAGAGAGAAAGACGAAGATTAAGAAGAAAATATGACAATTGGAGAAAAAACTAAAGAAACTAAAAAGTCTTGGAGCGGTAGTCACGGCGATTCGGCTTTCGAATGTTAACATCAGATGGGTGGATCAACTTGTCTTCGTCAAAGATTGTCCTTGACTCTTCAACAAAATTTCAGTTAAATAACAAATATTTTTAAATATTGTTACTTATTTTGTAAAATTAGATGAACAAAGAACATTGTTTTTATCTTAAGTATTTTATACTTTGATTATAAATAAGAATTAGTTTGGTTTGCTAAGAGACAAAATTATCCTCCCATACAAATTCCACTTATCCCCTTAGCTACGTAGTGTTGAATTTCGTATCGTCATATAAAAAATCACTAGGAACGTCCTACTTCTAAAGTAAGGATAACGAAGTACAATATTTAATTTACTTAAATACTAGCATAAATTAATATTAGTAAGTATATTTTTTTTCTAAAATTTTTTAGCAGTCTGTCCCTGATTTGAGTACATTATCGTGGTCCGCTGGCTTACCATAAGTTCAAATGAATAAGAAAGAGCGAGATAGCGCTATTGTGGACGCAGCTAATAGGAAACAACTCTGCGAATCATACGATCTCGGTTACCGGTGTTCTGCCCTTGAATTGGCTCGGCGATTTCGACCGCGGCTCGAAGACAGTGCACGTGTATTTATTGTGGTTCCACTGACTGACTGCGAAATTACGGTAAGTTTTAAATAATCTTTCAGTAATTTAATACTTACCAAAGATATTTAGTCAAATTTTTCCTTGACAGGGCAGTTTTTTATTTTTTTACTGTTATTTCCCCAAAATATCAATGTTTTACTTAAAAGTCTCCTGGCTTACCGTTCCATTGGGTCACTATACTGGTAACCCAAGAGAAATGTTTGGTGACCCAGGTGACTTCTATTTTTATTATTATAAAATTTCAATCAAATATTAATAATCTACCATAGATAAGGAAACAATACAGTGGAAAGAATGGGGAAGACTTGAAAAACATTATGAAAAAGACGGTAATAAAATTAAAGTTTTCAAAAATGTGCAGCAAGACAAGGAAGGGACAGTTCAAGAATTAATGAAAATATTTAATGAAGAACTGAAAGTATTAAAGAGACACATATACAATATGAAAAGTTAATTTAAAATTTTTAGAGAGGCGATAGATAATATAGAGGATACAGTAGTAATCGTGGTTGCAGATTTTAGCGAAAATTATAATTGCAAATTTCACAGAGTTTCAAGCGCACCACTTCGGGGGTCGAGGAAGCAAGTCTCATTGCATACTGTAGTTGTTTACATCCCAGAAGAACAGCATAAACACAAAGTTAAATCTTACTGTACAGTGTCAGCATGTACAAATCATCAACCTGGCGCCATCTTCTTCTTGTCTTGTTCCCGTTCTTAAAGATATAAAAGCCATAACCCTAAAACTGAAGCAGCCGATATAGCAGACGATATGGTAGCTCGTGGTGAAGACATTTCCTGTGCAGAATCATTTTACAAGAAACTGGATGGTAACAGTGAAATCAAACTGTACTTAATTACAGCTGAGGATATAGAAATCGTAACAAAACAACTCCCTCCAAAGATTTCGCCTCTTATGGGGACATTAAAAGTTCATCAAATGTGCGAGAGAAAATAAAATACAGAACCCTCAGCTGCTTTTGTACAAGGGGTTTCTGTGAATGTTTACAACCAAAAATGTATCCGCCTATTTCCATTGCTTCTGTTGCGTCTTCAGATAATGCGACGGATCTTCTTGCTGAAGAAGACATCTGTGAAACCGAGAAAGAAAACGATGGAGTCACTAATGTAAACGCTGAACTACCAAGCAGTTCTGACGATGAAGTGCCTTTAAGCGATATCATAAAGCGTAAGACGGTATCAACAGCCTTAAGTGAGATTCAGTTAATAGATTTATGCAAACCTGGGCGCAAAAACTGTTATAATTTTGTTTACAATACACCTGAAGAACTGTCGGAAGACGAACTGAAAGTATTAGTAGTATTATATTAGTATATAAGACGAGCAAGTTCCATCCACTTCATCAGGCAAAGAAAATCAACCCGTACGCTGTGGTGATTTTTTAATTGTAAATGTTCATGCTACCAAACCCTCTCAGAAATGAGGGGAGGCCTCTGCCCAGCAGTGGGACGTATATAGGCTGTAACTTTACTTTACTTTATGCTACCAAAGGCAAGTTATAAATATGCTTGTGTGGTGGACGATTTAGATGATGATGGGGAAATTAGGGTGACATTTATTTTTAAGTTAAGCAAAAAAAGGTTTTTATTTTAAATAAAAGTGACAGAGCTGATGTTGATTATACAGATATTGTTCAAATTCTTCCTAAGCTGATGACTTTTGAAAAACGAAGGCAGTTGTATTACAAATTTGAAAAGTGTATAGTTCACGAAAAGTAATTAATGTTCCTTTTATACAGAAGACCAAAGGGGATCTAAGAAGACTAATTTTAAACGTAAATTATACTTTTAATATTAAAATAAATAAAAACTTAGATTTGAAGAATTGCAGATTTTTAAAATAGTTTTTTTAGTTACTGTTTTATGTTCAGATATTTAAATTAGTTACTTAGTCAACACGTAAGACTGATTTTGTTAAGCAAATTATTGTTTTTATTTGGCTACATAGTGTAATTTGACTGATTATTTGTAGGTATTGTTAAAATATGTCTCTTGAGTCACTGAAATTGTCTTATGGGTCACCGTACTGTCCCCAAATTCCGCAATAGTAATTTTCTTTTTGTTTCTTAATAAATAATAATTGAAGTTTTTTTAATTATATTATTTAAAATATGCGACGACGATGGATATACCTACGATTTAATTGTATATGAAGGAAAAAAGACCACGACAACGACACAAAACATATCCTGTGAAATAGTCACGAAACTCAGTGAAAAGTATTTGAATGCCGGAAGAAGTATCGTAACGGCTAATTACTACACAAGTGTAACTTTGGCAAATAATTTACTACAGCAAAACTCTCATTTATTGGGGACTCTCAGAAAGAACAGGAAAGGGCTGCCAAAAGAAATATTAAAAGAGAAACTGAAGAAACGTGAGACCTGTGTAATGGAAAATAATGACGGAGTGTTGGGTTTACGATGGAAAGACAAGCGTGATGTGTTGGCTCTATCAACTCGGCATACACCTGGTTTTGTCAACGTGCGCAGCGTGACTATGAAACCAACCCTGATAGCGGACTATAATCATCATAATTGTTCTATTGACTACTCAGATCAAATGGGTAGTTATTCTAATCCAGCAAGAAGAAGCTTGAGATGGTTCCAAAAATTAGCTATAGAGCTTTTATTTAGCACATCTTTGATCAATGCTTTTATTTTGTTCAAAACTTCCAAGAACTTGACGTCCAAAAATATACCATAACAACATTTAAGGAAAATATTTGCCGTGCATTGATGGGTCTTGACAAACCAAGGAGACAAAATAACCAGAGTTGCTCAAATGGACACCAATTTGGAAAGTCTCCGTTGGTCGACCATCGTAACCGAATAGTCAGAAGAAGGTGCATCCACTGCTATGAAAAGAAGAGAGACGAAGGTTTGACAAGCATAGAAGCATGTAAAATAACTAAGAAAGTACTCTGCCCATCACAAAACCCAGTGTATGCTCAGAATGCTTTGCTAACTTCCATTGCACCATTATAAGGCAGTAGTTATATCAATTTACGAATAAATCTAAGTTCCTTTTAATTTTAAGATGCTTTTTTATTTCTGTGATTAATCCCCTAGTAATCCTCTAATGAAAAGATACAGACATATTTTTTTGTTAAATTCTAGGTAAAAAAGTAAACTTTGCCTCTAGTAGCTTCTTTTTCCTGTAACAGCAGGCCATGCACTACAAAATTAATAAGAAATTGCGAGGTCATAGCGTACCGCACGGATTGCTGGTAGAAATAAACAGTGAGTCCGCCAGCCGCCCGTATGGCGTGCTAAACTCGCGACCGCCGACGGACCGCATGGCCTGTTGTACTGAAAAAATATATATAAAGGTGGCAGTCACAGTCAGTGTTGCCGATGTGGCATTTTTAATGCTAAATTTGGCATATTTTTGACCTGTTGGCATGAAACAATTGGCTTTAGCATATTGCATATTTTAGTATTTTACGTACTAGTGATTTCAATTCTTTTTATGGGATAGACAAATTGTTTACACTCACTGCCATATCTCACTGTTCACTCAATATTTACTCTGTGCAAAAGATTGAACTAAACCCATAGACAAAAAATTTAAAATTGTTACTGTGATTGATTATTATGGCAACTCTATTATGATTTGGGGACTTTCCCGAATAGTGAAAGATTTTGTTTATTTTCCGAGTAAGCAATGTGTAATGTTTTGATTCATTCGCATTCGGACCATTACTCAACAGGTGCAAGTAGGGGGAAGTCCCCTAAGCCCGGACGGCTCCTAAAGCCGGACAGAATCTGAATCAGTGCGAAAAAGCGCGCCATTTTGTTGCTTGAGTCGTGGTTAGAAAGCGTTTCCCAAGTGAAGTGTGGGGGGAGCGTGTCAATAGTTAGTGCTGACTCGTTCGGCGTGGAGCGTGTAGCAAATTTTAAGGTTAGTAAAAATTTTTTGGGTTCTGTAAACAGTATTTAAAGAATGGGATGATAATCATTGTTATTAATTATTATTGCTTTTGTACTAATCTGATATAACCCAGGTGTTTTTTTAAGATTCATAACACATAATGTGAATGAGAATTTTTCTTGAGTCCCTTAAGTACATAACTTAAGGGTCCCTAAGTTCGGACACTCTCAAAGTTCACTAATACCGGACAGTTTTACAGTAGGTTTATTTTTGTTGTAGTTATTATTTTTGTGTTTTGTTTTTCAGATTCAACATGGATAAACCCAAACCGAGTTGTGGGAATACCCCAAACATGAAATATTGAAAAAAGCTCCATTTGTGATTTTTGCAGGTTGTACAATTAAAGTTTTGTAATTTTATAGAAACCGTTCCTAATTATGACCAAAGTTAATGACAATTAAGAATAGTTTTCTTTATAAACAGCTGATTTGATCAATTTTAATAGATATTCTTACGAATTGTTTGTTAAAATAATGTTTAGGTTTAAAAATGAACGAAAGTTGGCTGTCCGTCATTAGGGGACCTTTTTAAAAACGTCCTTTTTTCTATGTTAAATGTTCCTTAGTACCTACTACAATTAAAGTAAGATTTTAGGCTGTTGATATATCTGTGTTGATTAAGTATGTAGTTGTGAACTTATTAAAGTGAAATAAACAAATGAGACTATTATACGTTCTTTTTTATTTTTATTGTTCCTTAAGTGTCCGGTTCTCGGGGATCTCCCCCTACCGATACTTGTAATAGCTTTAAAATAAACGTTTGTGCTTTTGTTTTGTGTGTGTGCTTTAAAAGTAGTTTACAATTGACTTTGGAGGGATAATATGCTTCCAAAATATGAACAACATTATCGAGAAGAATGGGAGAAGATGAGTGAGTTTAAACAATGGCTTACACGAGCTAAAGAAGATTCGACCAAAGCTTACTGCAAATACTGTAAGTGCAACATTATAGCCAAAGTATCCTGTTTAAAACAACACATTGGTACATCAAAACATGCGAAACATGTTGTGCCGAAAAAAAGTAAAAAAAAATTGATTTTCCTAAGGTGCATATTCAACTAGATACCCAAAGAGCAGAGTGTTCATTTGCGTTATTTATAAGTGAACATGCATCTACTTTAACAGTGGACACACTTGTCCGAAATGTGTAAAAAAGCATTTTCTGATAGTCGAAGTGCCGATATTAAATTACACCGAACGAAATGTACAGCAGTAAGATGGTGTGGATGCAACGTTTTAGACTCACTTGTATTGCAGAGGAAATGGCTCGTGAAAGATTCTTTCTTCTCAGAGTAAACTTACAGATTGTAGATAAGGGATCTGTATCATCTGAAATACAAACTAAGAACAAGTTGTGGCTTGCCCAGCCACTGATAGATGCTGTAAGGGGCGTATGCTTAATAACTAGAGATTAATCTCACTTTTCAATTGACGAACAAATGGTGCCATCTCTCGGCAAGTGTCCTGTTAGACAATTTGTGAAAGGCCAACCGAGACCAGTGGGCCTTAAAAATTATGTCGTGACATCATCGAAAGGATTAGTGTTAGATTTTGAGCTCCATTAAAGTGACACCACTCCACTTTCTGACAGATCTTTGGGCCTCGGACCCGCTGTAGTTTTACGTTTAATAAATACTCTGCCCTAGAAGATTGCAAAGAAGTGAACGATATGAATGACAAGCTCGTGGAAACTGTCCATGCGGTCGGAGCTAAGTTCTGCAAGACCCGCCGCAGAAGAACACAAAAACTCTCCGATCACACCTTTAATCTCATGGCTGTTAGACGGGAGATGAGGCTGCAATCGTCAACAGATTTGAAAGCATACAGGCAACTGAACACACAGATCTCCAAATGCATGCGGAGAGACTTGCGCAACTTCAATACTGCTCGCATTGAAGAAGCGAGCGAAGCGGGCTCCAAAGTCTTTGCCAGAGATCTGTCTGCCAGTAAGAGCCAACTGTCAAAGCTGAAGACTGAGTGTGGCAGCATCGTTTCCGGGACACCTGAGATTCTGAGTGAGATTGAGAGATTCTATGGGCAGCTGTACACATAATCGTTGGAGCCACACGCAAGTGTGAGTAACGATCCAAGAGGAAGTCTTATCCGACACTATTTTTGACTTTTTGTGTTGGCTACTTTGTAAATTTAAATCGATGTTACTCGATATCCCGGACGTCAGTCTGAGCGAGATTAGAATGGCTCTCCAGCGCCTTAAAAACGGCAAGTCCCCGGGCGAGGATGAAATTACAGCGGAGCTTCTGAAATCGGGTGGAAAACCGGTACTTGAAGTCCTTCATTTAATTCCGTCCTCCATGGTGGCACTACTCCGGAGGCGTGGAGCAGAAGTGCGGTGGTCTTGTTCTTCAAGAAAGGTGACAACGCCCTCTTGAAGAACTACCGCTGCATTGGAAGACGTTTACATGCTACTGGACTGGAAAGGATACGGTATTAACATCAATGGCGAGTTCATCACTCACCTTCGATTTGCCCACGATATAGTCCTTATGGCAGAATCGCTGGAGGACTTAAGCACTATGCTCAATGACCTCAATAGTGCCTCCCAACGGATAGGTCTTAAGATGAACATGGACAAAACAAAGATCATGTTTAATATCCATGTCACACCTATGCCGGTAGTTGTTGGGAGCACTAAGCTCGAAGTTGTTGACGAGTACGTTTACCTGGGACAAATAGTCCGACTAGGTAAGTCCAACTTCGACCGAGAGGTCAATCGACGGATTCAACTCGGCTGTGTAGCGTTCGGGAAATTACAACGCATCTTCTCGTCAGGTATACCTCAAAACCTGAAAACTAAGTTGCACAACCAGTGCGTGTTGCCAGTGATGACCTACGGAACCGAGACGTGGTCCTTCACTGCTGGCCGTGGCCGTATGAGGACGCTCAAAGTCACTCAGCGAGCTATGGAGAGGGCTATGCTCGGAGTTTCTCTGCGTGACAAACTTAGAAATAAGGATATCCGCAGTAGAACCAGAGTGACGACATAGCCCAACGGATTAGTAGGCTGAAGTGGCAATGGGCCGGCCATATAGCTCGAAGAACCGACAACCGTTGGGGAAGAAGGGTTGTCGAGTGGTAGCCTCGTACCGGTAGGCGAAGTGTAGGGCGACCCCCACTAGATGGAGTGACGACTTGGAGGAAGTCGATGGATGCAGGTGGCTCGGGACCGTGCTTTGTGGCATACCTTGGGGGAGGCCTATGTTCAGCAGTGGACTTGTGAAGGGCTGTAATGATGATGATGATGAAATACTCTGCCCAGAGGAAGTTTTGTTTATTTTGATAGATATTTTACGATCATTCCATTACTTGAGAAGATGTTAACGCGTGCAATTGAAGGCAATAGAACGATAATCATCAATAGGTTTAAAGGATATCAGTTTCCCAAAGACTCTTCAATGAATCGGAGTGATTATCACGAGGTTGTTAACAATAAAAAAGATATCTGTGTCATTAAACTCCAAAACAGTATTAGCTGGTTCAACTGCTATTGGAGCCAAGCCATTGCATAAGGTCCAGCGTTACGATAAAGTTACAAAATCATACATCGAAGTAACTTGCCCTTATATGTATGATAAAAAAATACAACGAACACATGGGAGGTGTAGACGTCAGCGACCAAATGATGGAGGTCTATAGATCATGGCATAAAACTCGCAAATGGCCAATCAAGTTAATAATTCATTTGTTTGATTTGGCCATGGTGAACTCGTGGTACGTGGTATTCTCAAATTCTCGACGCGTTAGATTCCATTTCGG